ACCAGCCACATTGGCACAGCAAAGATTTTATTGGGGTTACTCACACGAGTGTGGGTGAAGGAGGCATTTATAGAAGCATGAATAGCCCAGAAGAGCTTCATCATCAAAAAACTCACTAATTGCAGACCAAAGTAGTATGTAGTATCCATAGGCTGGTTAGTGTCAGCTGAAAACATATGCTGGTTAAGAGAGTAGATGGAAAGTTTAGTACCAGAGGTCTAAACTCAGCCTCTCTTTCCATTGTAGTATTCAGTATAAGCCTCAGTTACTGCCTTGTCTGTTAAAATATACATCATTTGAAGAGAGAATGGTAATTGTACCAACCTCAAGGTTTCTAGGAAAGTGAAGTAAAATAATATGTATAAAGTGCTTACCACAGTGGCTGGGAAACAGTGAGCCCTCAACAAACTGTTCATCATCTGCATTTCCCCTTAAATAAGGAGCACTTCTCAACTGGTTTGAGTTGCCTATACAATTCACCAAAGCAAATATCATTTTTTTGGTAAATATACGCTAGTTCAAACTTTGTAATTCTTCCTCCATTCTCTCCCCACAGGGAGGGATATTGAAACATAACTATATTTATCATAGAAAAATTGAACATACTTGGTAATTTACTACGTATCTGATATGCCATACTAAAGCCATCACCTAGTCATATACATTTTCCCACATGTACATTTTAAAGCCTGTTTCTATACTAAAACCAAATGGCATTCTAAAGGAACAATTGTAGAAAAATAAGTGCAGAAAATCCTAATGCCTTATTTTCCTGAGATCAATATAAAAAGGTGACATGCCTTTACATGTGTTAATTATTCAGTGCACTGCTAACATTTATTTATCATTCTGACATGTGTGAATGTTGTATTTATCACCAGAAAAGATAGCTTACTTAATGAATTAATATATGTTCTAATAGCTGTTTTATCCTTCTATCTCCAATTCAGAAATATTGCATGTTTTCATATGCTATGTTCAACAATCAACAACTATTTAAGGAATCTATGATTTAATATAGAATCTACTGCAATAATAGATACAAAACCAAAAATCTGGGTCCCTGTCTTCAAATGACATACATTTTGAAAGACAAGGCAGTAACCAAGACTTATACTGAATACTACAAGGGAAAAGAAAGAAAATATGAAGGATATCATGCACAGTATACAAAAAATTCCAGTCAAATAAGGGAGGTAGATATAAGAACATTGAATATTAAAAGAAGAAAAGTTAAATTAGATATATGTCATCAAGAAGTACAAATTGAGATGTGAGGTAGCAAAAATGAAATTAGGAAAAATGGAATTGGTTTCCCTAAGCCAGTATGCTTTGGAGGACACAAGACCAGGACTTTTTCCTTATTTTACCATCAAACTAAAGCAATTCAGAATCCATGGAATGGCCCTGCCTCCCTAATCTTAGCATTCACAAATTGGCTGGTTATAGTGATTGAATACATTATATTTCAACCAAAACCATGTATTAAGTGTCAAATGATGAATGAAATGCTGTCTGTAAAAGTGCTACATGTCTTTGTTTTTCAGAGAGCTGATATAGCTGTTGCTCCACTCACTATAACTTTGGTCCGGGAGGAAGTCATTGATTTTTCAAAGCCATTTATGAGCCTGGGTATCTCCATCATGATAAAGAAGCCTCAGAAATCAAAACCAGGCGTATTTTCATTCCTGGATCCTTTAGCTTATGAAATCTGGATGTGCATTGTCTTCGCTTACATTGGAGTCAGTGTAGTTCTCTTCCTAGTCAGCAGATTTAGCCCTTATGAATGGCACTTGGAAGACAACAATGAAGAACCTCGTGACCCACAAAGCCCTCCTGATCCTCCGAATGAATTTGGAATATTTAACAGTCTTTGGTTTTCCTTGGGTGCTTTTATGCAGCAAGGATGTGATATTTCTCCAAGGTTTGTTTGTGTGTAATACAGAATCCTGCTTGTATTTTGTGGTCATACTCCACTCATGTCTATCTGGTATTCACCTGCATCAACTTCAGAGTTCTTTCATTTACCATTCCATCCAATGACAAATTATCATCAAACCATTTTGTTTGCTTATGTGGAGGAGGTGAGTGTGTCTCTGCTGATGTTTTGAATGCCTAAGGTTTGCTACAATGTTCATAGATACACAAACTGGATAAAATTAACTGGCACATAGTATTACTGTGAAGGTTTCCTCATTAATTGAGCTGAAACATTTTTCTCATTTGCCAAGAGACTAAATCTAGACAAAACATGAGAGAAGATAGAACGTTTCTTTAAAATCTTCCTGCCTTCCCCTATTAATATTGTCTCTTTGTTTTGCTCAGACTGCCTAGAACTATGCATATACTCAAGTTTCTTAGCTGAAACTATAGAATTTCTCCAAGAAAACAGCAGAAAATCAGTAGGAATCTTAGTGATATGGCCACATTTGTAAATAGTCTGGCCATTTCTTATAAAGTTAGTCATGGAGTTAAAATGTGACACAACATATTTATTGTTATTTGTACCCCTAAAGTAAAAGGTAGAAGTGCCCATAGTAGCTTTAATTTTAATAGACAAAAGATAGAGACAAAGCAAGTGTTCAACTGGTAAATGGATAAAGAAATTGTGGCATATCCATTCAATGGAACACTAGTCAATGAAAAGAACAGACTATTGTTGCATACTAACAGTTCAGATGAACTTTGAAAACATGCCAAATTGAAATCATGTAAACAAAACATGCCACATACCACTCAACTATATCCCATAATAGATCCTTCCACTTGTCCCAGGTAGGCAAATCTATGGAGATAAAAAAGACAGTTAGTGATGGCCAGAAGTTGAAGGGAGAAGAAAGAAAAGATAACAAAGGCAGGACTGGAGTCTGGCCGAACAACTACAAGAGTCAGAAACAACTTATTTAAGTTTCTTATATGTTGTTCATTACAAGTTTTTTATGTTTGTTGTTTTTAAGAAATATAGCACTAAAATGCTTTGGCCTGGATAAGATTTTGACACTGACTTATATTTGCTTGTGGAACATACACCTTACTTGTCTCATTCTTTTCCCCACTGTGCCAGGATTAACTACAGATGGACATGAGGGAGCTGATGGAGGTGATATGAAAATGCTCCAAAAATAGATTGTGATGATGGCTGCAGAACTCTAAATTTACTTAAATCATTGAACAAATACAATTCTCATAAATATTAATACTTATACTGGTGAACTGTATTAGATGCAAACCTAGCAAAGCTATTGAAAATATTGAGCGTAGTTCAGGATGTAGCTTAGTAGTAGAGACCTTACTTAGCTATCTTTGGCAGCTTTTTAGAATTGCCTGCATGGAGCTTTCATGCCTTATGCATCCAAATTACTCTTTTCCCCCTTTTATATTAAAAAATTGCCACCCCCAATCTGCTTGGTTGGGTTCTTCAAATTATTTCATTTCCTGTTCCCTTTGTGTTCAGAATGTGTCATTTTGTGATATCATCAGGGAGTTCATTTGATTTCCTAGTTCCTTTTTTGGTTTTTGTGAAATAGTCACTTCAAGAGACTATGGCCTCTGAATGAGTCTATAATTGAAAGATTTCTAACATGGCGGCTAATCTGTGTTGAGACAATGCTGAAGAGTCATTAAGGCTGGAGATTTTCTTGGTTTCTGTAAGTCAATTTTCAAAACTATATTTGTGATATTCCCACCGGAGTGCTGCCTACAATGCTGCATACTCAAACAGATCACAGCAAAAGCCATTTTTCCAACTATTTATGCACATTTCTCCATTAAATAAGCACTAAAGCTGATACTGAAAATGACACGTTGGACCAGTTTGGTTTTTTGCTTTAATTTCTGGTGGAAGAATTTAAGCTATGGCTTTTCTATAGTCCTGAAATATAGCAAATACTTCCAAGTCTTTTAACATGACCCACAGTAAGAAATAATTTTCCATCTTGACTCACTATACATAAATTATACCAGACATTACCCTTACAGTATGCCACGCATGATGAAATTTTTCTATCCTGTTGAGTTGTTTTTAAAGCTGGTCATGGTTCAACCCACTAAGGGCATGAAGCCTATAGAACACTTGTCTAGTGTAACAACTATCGTTTATGGTGCATTTTAGTAAGAAGTCATTACCTCCAGGAGCTCTATGTTTTCTAACCTATGAGCGATCACTCCTATGATGCTATCTTTTGTGCCCTACAAAAGAATTTATCTCTTGAAATCTTTTATTAAAATTTTATGCTTCTTAGCATATTACCAGTAAGAAAGAAATGTGTTTCTCCTTGTCCCGAGAGCGCTATTAATTATATATTTGTGAACAACTGTGTATCAGCTCAGCCTATTGTAATATGTTTCTCTATGAGCAGATTTAGAGAGGCCTGACAATAGTTCAGCTGCAGTGTGAGGTGTGTGGTTGCCTTTCTTGTAAGCAACAGCATGACACTTCGGTTAGTGACCACACTCAGAGTAAAAACTCTCCAGAAAGCAAGAATGTGAGCATAGACTATACACTGCTACTCTCATCAAAACGGAAGTAATTCAAGGAATTGTCCTTGAGATTATATTTCAAAATAGAATTAACAAGTATTAGAACAGGAGGAAATGTCAGAGAAACAGAAGTCTAAATGCTGCCATTTCCTAAGGAAAGCACAACCTTGCCTGGACACCCACTGTGTGTGGACACATTATCTACAGTCTCAACGGGATCTTCATCTTTAAACCATTGCCACAGTGTAAGCAACGTGCTTATTTTTAGGTTGAAGAAAGTGGCATGGATTAAATAATTTTCCTAGGCACACTGACAATGACAGCTAGAACTCAAACCTAGCTCCAAACCCCCAGACCCTTGTTCTTTCTACTGTATGCTGCTTAGTTCATATCATAGATGACAGACATTTCTAGAGGGCTGATACAAGGGAACACAAACAACTTCCCGGAGATTTTTAGGAGCTGGCAGTACAATTGCTTCCACAACTACTTCACACTGCCAATCTAAAGGAGCACTATTGGCTTCCTGGCTCCCTTCATGCTAAGGTACCAGAACTGTTTTCCCATTTCTATCCCTAAAGAAATACAGCACTCATTGTTAATGAGAGTGGGCAGTGTACATTCATAAGGCTGCTGGGCACGTGCTTGCACAGTGCATAAGGCTGCAAAATCAGCAATAAGGTGTTATGAGGAAAACTGCTGGCATCATTCCATTGTCACCAAATCCAGTTATTGACAGTTACCCAGAAGCTTAGAAATTCTGCATCAATATTAGGCTTGATATTTTAACTGCTCTAATTGTTCCCAGTGAATTACTTTGTTCTGCATGAAGCTGTAGGCTGAGTCAACGTTACAGAAGGTAATCGATGTAATAAGCCAAGGTTATATTCATACATCAACTGATTTATCAGGGTTGAAGTCCAGAGAAGGTGTGAATGCATTCAGTTTAACCCTCTCCATCCTGAACGTGCAACTGGGGGCCAGCCCATGAGGGTAGCCAGATGGAGAGAGCAGAGTGGTTAAGCAGGAGGTGCTAAAGTTAGCTTCAGCACATTCCCAGGCTGCTCTGCAGTTGTGTAACCTGGGGCAACTGACTAAGCCTAGCTAAACCTCAGTCTCTTATCAATAAAACGCAAAGTGCAGTTCCTGGCCTAGGAGCTCTATAAATGTTATCTATTGTTACTATGAAATTGGATTCTTGTAATCATCATAGTTTAGCGTACATACCAGTTACCATTGCATTTGGTCAGAGTTCCTAAAACTATGGAGGAATCCAACTAAGTGCTGGTGGATAGCAAAGTGCTCCTGAGAGTCAAGCAGCAACATTCCTTCTTGATCCCATTGAGAGCTTTTAAGGGTTCCATTTCTTGACAGCGTTTTGAGCATAGTATCCCATAATGCATCGCTCACACTGACAAGAGGCTACGACTTTTTAAAATCTGAAATTTGTTTCCTTTGTGAAACTTTGATAGAGCCACTTGTGTCGTCTAGAGTCCAAGTCCAGACAAATGCTCCCCCTGCTGACTTTCTGTGAAGCTGCAGGGACAGCTGAGGGCTAGCCAGGTGGAAGACGTGAGGCTTAGGAACAAGTACCAAAAGGAAAATGGAGGGCAAAGAATAGACAAACTTGGACCTCACCACTGGGTACAGATTGTGCCAAAGGTATTTTTTTATTAAATTTTCAAGATAGCAAGTCCTTTGAAAGTGTAGGCAGGGACTCTGTCACAGTTAGACATGGGTCCTACAAACATAGATCCTCCTTGAAAAGAAAGGTGCGTAGAATAACAAAAGGTTTGAGGGGTATGAGCTGCATTTTAAGTGATATCCTTTCCTTTCATGATGTACACCGCTCCCTTCATCCTACTGCAAATTCACTTTACAGCAGTGATGATGTGTTGATACATTAGTAACGCAAAGGCAGGATTTTTATGACAATTATTTCACGACTTTGGCTGAAAGCCGTAGTTTTCAGTCTTTGGGATGTGGTTACTTATTTCCATCAGAGAAGGCTGTAAGAAACAAAGATTGGGTCTGCAGATTTTTAAGAGTCTATGACAGTCCTTATATTGAATGGAGAATGGAAATGAGGAATGAGAAGAGAGGAATACTTTCGAAAGAGAAGAGAGGAATGATAAAGATTTAGATGAAGGTAAATGTTTTAGCTTCCCTTATCGTCTCATAAAGCTAGGATAGTACAGATTCCAAAATTTACTTACAGGATGAAGGTTATGGTCCATAGCTCACTTTTATTGTCATTTCAGATGTCATAAAATACATTTTTATTATTAAGGTAGGGATTCCAGTTTCTTATTATTACAGTTAAGAAGAACATTGTCTATTGTTTGATAGATGTGTTTGACAATATTTTACATGTGTTTTTTCTTTTATTACTAATTTATTTTCATTAACTTCAAACCTCTTCTGACCCTTTTGTGAAAGGTATGA